CAGTATTTTCAAAAAAGGCATATTTTTTAATATTCAACTTTTCTAATCTAATGTTTCGTTTCTGAGCTTTTAAAAATGTTAAATTACGGTACGGATAGTTCCAGCAATTTGCCTTAAGGCACGATGCCATGCTCCACTTGTTTTGTTTTGTTTTTGTGATTTTATTTCCCTTTTTATAAATTTTACAAACTTACAAGAAATTTCAAAATCTTCAAAAAAGTTCAAAAATATCAGTATTTTTTTTTTAAAAAAAGTCATATTGTTTTAATAGGCAATTTTTTTAAAAAGTTTCAAAATGTTAAAAAAATTCAAAATTCTCAGAAAAATCTATTTCTTTTTTGAGCTTTTAAAAATTTTACATCGATTCAAAACTGACAAGAATTTTCAAAAAGATTTAAAAAAAAATCGTTTTACAAAATTTCTAAATTTTCAAAAATATCAGTATTTTCAAAAAACGCATATTTTTTAATGCCTAATAAAGGCAAAATTCTCAAAGAAATCTAATTTTTCTTCTGAGTTTCTAAAAAATTTTAAGAAACGCTACGGAAAGTTCCGTTGAATTAAGACACAATGCCATGCACCACTATACAAAATTTCTAAACTTTTAAACATATCAGTTTTTTTTTTCAAAAAATGCATTTTGTCAATATTCAAATTTTTTTAAATGCTTTCAAAATGTTCCAAAATGTTGAAAAAAAATAAAAGTTCTCAGAAAAACCTAATTGTTCTGTTCTGAGCTTTTAAAAAATTTTAAGTTACCGTACGGGAAGTTCCAGCAATTGGCCTTAAGGCATGATGCTATGCTTCACTACTTTTGTTTCCCTCTTTATAAATTTTACATTCTTTTTAAGAAAAGCCTTCAAGTAATTATTAATAGCAAAATTTGAGTCAGACCAATTGGTGCATTTTTAATATTTCTCAAAATTTCTTGACACAAAATTATTCCCAAAATAAACAAAAACAATTTATAAAGCTCTATAATCTGTAATATTCGGTAAATAAAAATTGCATAAGGGATATTTAAAGGATTTTTTTTACCATAAGAAAACTCTCAAGATCTACAAGCATTAATTAAACTATTTGAATTTGATTACATATTTTTTCTTCAAGTTATTGTATTACATAATACTAATGTTAGGCTTAATATTGTTTAATAGTTGTATTTTTCCTATAATTAATTCAATTCAGATAATTTATTTTCTGTAATTATTAAATTTATTCCTGGATCCGTATAAATATAAATATAAATAAATTATGAATATTATAAATTATGAATAATTTCATATGAATCATTTCATTTCAATTCATTTATGCTAAAAAATGTTAACAAAAAAAATAGAGTTTCGGACCAATAGACAGACCAATTGGTATATTTTTAATATTTGCCAAAATTTTGGATTTTACTCATTTTGGCAATATTGGACTAGAGCAACCCCATATCTTCAAAAACACACTTTGTACACATACTATAAAATAAAACAATAAAAACCACCCCCCTAGCTCTAAGTCTATCCAAGTACCGCATATCCTGAGGGAGTCCTAAACCTAAATAACAATAGGAGTCAGTCAGGTTCAGGTAATACCTGGCATTCGAAAATTCCACCTTGCGCACACAAAACACAAAAGAGACCTAGATGATCGTTCTTTTCATATAATGTGAGTTTTCGAATTCGTGAGTTTTAGAGTTTTCGAGTTGTGAGTTGTGCGAGTTCGCTTGAAATTCTGTCTTGTGTCTGCTGACACAAAACACAAAAGTTTAAAGTTGGTTCCACCGAAAACTCAAAATGAAACGAAAATGAAAGAAAAAAATATATAAATATCGGATCTCTCAAGCATTCCGTCCTACTATAGCGACTGTACGAGGAATGCGAGCCTATAGGGCTGGGGAATTGATGGAGTCGAAGTCGATGTTGGCGAAAAATCGATGTTGGATAAAAATATTATTTGAATTAGAATTAGTGATACGGGCGATATTTTTGTGTATGCGCTTTTTACTGTATATTAATTGTTAAAGTATTGTTGAAAGTTGTTACATTTTAAAAGAAAGTATCAAATAATTTGAAGATGTTTTTTACCTAAAGAAGTACTTAAAAATATAATTTAACGATACCTAATATGAAAAACTGAATTAATAATAAAAACAATAAATGAAGATACGATATAAAATAAATTAGAAAAATTGGCAAAAAAATTAGGCAATTTTTCAAATAATTTTCTAAATTCTGAGACATTTTCCAGTTTCAGTCTACAATTAACGTCATTTTTGCCAATTTATGTTGTTTTTAGAAAATTTGTAACATTTTGAGACAATATACAATATTTACAGATAATCTACAGCATTTAAAAATATAATTATTTATATATTTTTTAAAAATATTTTTTATTGATCTGTGACATTTTCAGACTTTTTATCTTTATATTTAATATTAATTTATCTTTATTATTTTATCTTTATATTTAATATTTATATTTAAAGATTAAATGTCTGAAAATGTCGCAGATCAGAAAATTTTGAAAATTGACTGAAAAATGTTTGGATTATTTGAAAAATTCAGACAATTTACGACATTTTCAGGTAATTTTTACAAAAATTTTAAGTATTGTTTCAAACATCTTTTTTATTGGTTTTATTTTAATGACTAAATAAATGGCGACATAAATATTGCTTTTAACTAGTAATAACATATTTAAATTGTATAAAACAGTCATCTTTAACTAAATAGCATCCAAAACCATTCAAAAAAAAATTACTGAAAAGTGAGTTCACACAAAACATTAATGAAAAATATTTCTAAAACCAAATTAACACTAAAAATTTATACAAACACTGGTAATGGATGGAAATAACGATAGTCAAATTTATTATTATTATTAATTTAGACTAAATTTAACCTAATATAAGATGTTGCTACATCAAAAATATCGTCAGTTTTATGAATGGACTAGTAATACTATATTACTACCATAAACTGAACAATATTTCACATCCTGTGTGAAAATAGCACCTGTTAGTGACTTGCCATTTTAGTTCGGACTTTAGAAATTTCACAAGAACAGTTTTTTTTTATCAAAGTTATTTCACATCTCCAGATTTTTTGAAGAACCTCTCACAATTCTATAATTGTAAAATTTTAAGCAATGAATGAATTTGGATTTATCTTTACATTTACGAACAATAAGAATTATTCTTAATATAATTCAAAATTTTACTGTAAATAAATTCAAATGTTCATAATGGTACTTACAAGGAGTACCTTACATTTATTCCCTTACGATTTCTATAAAACTTTGCATGATGATAAGGTTGATAGTCAAAATCAATTACTAAAAATATTATAGGCTTATGAAAAGTGGTTTAGTTTTAAAAATTATTCAAAAATTTGAAAAAAAATCTATAAATATTAATAAAATAGTATATAAATTCATTATTTATTTTATGCTTCACAATTTATTTTTTTTATTCTGTGCTTTATTTACAACTGTCCAATTAAGAACATTTAATACATTTGGGGAATTTACAATTGTCATCCGTGAAGGAACATTGTATACTAAATGGGCAAGTTGGAAAAACAACTAAATTGTCTAAAAAAATCAGTATAATTTGAAAAATAATGTTCTGTATAGTCTGCTTCAGATGCTTTAAAAATGTTATGGATAATCTGAAAAAACTTCATATAGATAGACTGAAGATTATATGGTTAGTTGTAAATGTTTTGGATAGTCTGAAAATTTTCTGAATAGATCTATAAGAATGTTTTTGGTAAAAATATTCTGGATAGTTCTAAAATGTTGTGGATAGTTTGAAAATTTACACTACCCGGCATATCTTCGGACTATCCAAAACAATTTTAGATTATCCAGAACATTTACAAAATATCCATATAATTTTGAGATAATTTAAAATATTTTTCGTCCATTTAGAATATTTTTAGACAATTTTGATCCTTTTTAAACTATTCAGAACATTTTCAGACTATGTAGAACATTTTTTAACACTCCATAATACTTTCAGACTACCCAGAATATTTTCAGACTAATCTGAACATTGGATAGTCTAAAAATGTTCTGGATAATCTGAAATTGTTGCAAATAGTATAAATAAGTTATGAAGTATTGAAAAATATTTCAGCAAACAATTATGGGTAGCCTGAAAATGTTCTAGACTGTCTGCAAATATTCAAGAGAAAAAATATTTTGTATATTTATATAATAGTTGGAAAATGTTCTGAATATATAGTCTGCAAATGTTCTAGATAGTCTGAAAAGTTCTTGAGGGTCTAGATAGTTTATGATAGACCTAAAATAATCTTTATATTTTGTAAATGTTACAGATATGCTAAAAATGTTATAGATAGTTTCGAAATGTCCTAGATAGAATAAAAATATTGCAAATTGTTTGAGAATGCTGCAAATCGTCTAAAAAATAATAGAATTAAAAAAATATCTGAATAAAATTCTGAATAAAAATATAATTTGAAAAAATTCTGAATAAAAATATAATTTGAATAAAATCTGAATAAAAATGATTTAATAAAATGTTTCTTTTAAAATTTAAATGATGTACCTATATGCGTTTTTTTTCTTAGAAATAATAGTAAAGTTAAATAACTTTATATATCTAGTATTTTTAATAAATAAAAAATTCAATCCTCCTTTTTCAAATGCATAAACATAAAAAATTGCGTTAAAAATTTCACATTTTTAAAACTCATCCCATTTCGATATCGAATTTCCAACAAGTCCCTTATACCCCCCCACTCGCCCATGTGCGTGTTTTGGAAACGCGCCCATGTGTGCGTTTCGTGTTCCGACGCGCTTCGTAGAGGGGAGCGAAACCGGCAACTTTAAAAATACCGCCGCGATGGCGCCCCAATCAATACGACGCTAGCGGTCACATGGTCCCGAGCTTCGACCAATCACAAACGGGCTTCTCGCGAACTCGGCCGAAGTGCGACGTCTCGATTCGAACGGCGCTGAGTAGACACGAGCGCTCATAACCGCTTCGGACGCTCAGTCAGTAACAGACGATGGTAGAAGACACAAGAGTAAAAGACACAGGGATAAAAGATACAAGAGTAAAGGATACAGGAGTAAAAGTTAAATAAAAATAAAAGACGTTTTGCCAAAAGTGTTGTGTTTATATAAAGATGTGTGTGCGTTCAAGTGCTAAAACGATACGGTGAAATTTTAAATCAAAAGTGTCTATTACCAATGATGTTAAATATGATGGAAGACGCCGGACACCTAGTTTTCACGGAATTACCCGGCGCTCTTTTACACTCCGTGACAGCCCTCCACCACCATCACCATCACGCTGGACATCGCACCAGGACGTTGTTGCAACAGCAGCAACGTTACGCCCCTTACCATCTTCACCAACCCCATCTCCTACCGTCTCCTCAACAGCACCAGCAAACCCAACGAGAAAGGCGACCTGTTACCCCTCAGCCAATCCTGACTTCCCAACACCACCAGCCCGAACCCGAACCCGAAGAGCAAAGGACGACGCACGTGTCCAGGCTGTATCCGGAACTTTTAGCACTGATTTTTGCCCATCTGGATGTAAGGGATCGTGGACGAGCCGCCCAAGTCTGCACGGCCTGGAGGGATGCGGCTTACCATAAATCGGTTTGGCGCGGGGCTGAGGCTAAATTGCATCTTAGGCGCGCGAATCCTGCCTTGTTTCACTCTTTGGTCCGCCGTGGTATCCGCCGGGCGCAGGTTTTGTCCTTAAGGAGGTCCTTGAGGGATGTTGTGCAAGGTGTACCGAATTTAGAATCTTTGAATCTCAGCGGGTGTTATAATGTTACGGATGCAGGTTTAGCACACGCACTAGTCAGCGAATTACCAGCTTTGCGTTCTTTAGACTTATCCTTGTGCAAACAAGTCACGGATACGTCTTTAGGCAGGATAGCGCAATCTCTTAAAAACTTAGAAACTTTGGAACTTGGTGGATGTTGCAATATTACCAACACAGGATTACTTCTAATAGCGTGGGGTTTAAAGAAATTAAAACGTTTAGACTTAAGGTCGTGTTGGCATGTGAGTGATCATGGTATAGGACACCTGGCAGGCTTAGATAAGACTACAGCCGAAGGCACCCCGGAGTTGGAGTACTTGGGTTTACAGGATTGCCAAAGACTGAGCGACGAGGCTTTGCAACACGTGTCCACCGGTCTTCCGAAACTGCGCAGCATAAACCTAAGTTTTTGTGTCTCGATCACGGACGGTGGTCTCAAACATTTAGCCAAAATGCCTGAACTCCGAGAACTCAACCTCCGATCCTGCGACAACGTCTCGGATATCGGTTTAGCCTATTTGGCGGAAGGTGGTTCGCGGATAGACACGCTGGACGTGTCCTTTTGCGACAAGGTAGGCGACCAGGCTTTGGAGCACGTCAGCAGGGGCTTATTCCGACTTCGATCTCTATCCTTGAGCGCCTGCCAGATCACCGACGAAGGCCTGGAAAGAGTCGCAAACGCCTTGCACGATTTAGAAACCTTAAACATCGGCCAATGCAGCAGAGTCACGGATAAAGGACTTACCTTGATTGCTGATAGCCTGGCAGGATTACGAGCAATTGATTTGTATGGTTGCACAGGAATAACTTCAGCTGGTCTTGAACGAGTCACGAAGTTACCACAATTGGTAGTTTTGAATTTGGGACTTTGGCACGTCAGGTGATCAGAGGGTGCACGACCATAATAAAAACAAGGTGTAAAAATTCATTTCGCGTCGGGGGTGGTAATGGTAATAGATACAGTAATTCGTTAAATGTTTTTGTTTATGGTGATACTGTGTAAATGTGATTCCTTCCCCCGACGACTTTCTAGTGACCTTGTTTAAATGGTTTGATTATTTTGATTATTAGTTGTGATAGGAGTGTCATACTCTCTTTTTGAAAATGTTGATAGTGTGTGAACTTCGGATGATGAACTATTAAAAATAAGACTGTTTCCGAATGAGGTGAACTTTTATTGAAATTCTATTAGAACAAGTTATATAAATGAAATTCTTTCAAATGTGTTACTAAAAAAAGACGATATTTCTTTTTATATTAATTATTATTATTATAAAAATACCTAAGATTTTTTTACCTATAATTCCATTTAATTTGTATATATGTTGTGTAAAATCGAAGCGTTTCGCAAAATGTTATTCCAATTTGTTTTGATGGAAACTATTTTGGAGGAGGAGGATGGATCTATTATCATTTATTATTATTATTACTATTTTCTTCTCCTCCAATATTTTTTCTGTCCAAAATCAACCATGTGTAGCCTATTTTTAGTCCTGATTTGAAATTTATGTCCTGATTTATGATACTATTCTATTTTTTTGTTTTTGAAAATTTCATTATGCAGTGAAATCTGTATATATTGAGATGATGAAAAAAGCGATGCATCTGATGCATGAAATGTTTTGTATATTTTAAAAAGGCGAAAATACAGTTTCTACTTGTTGAATTTAAAGTTTGTCTTTGATTTTTATAAATGTGACATAGTTTGTTGTTTGAATTTTCAGATGAGATATTAGATGAAAATATTAATGGTTGTAGGATTGAAAATTGCAACAGATTTTTCTTATGGTACATTTTTTCGAGAAAATGGATACTTTTTATCGATATATTTTCTTCAAATATTTATAAATAATTATTTTTACGTTTTACGTAAAGAAGTTTGTTTTTAAGATCTCTGTGTTCTAAGCATTTTCCAAAAAATGTGTATTAAAATCAATATTCTAGTATTTTGTATTTGTCGTTTTTTTCTTTAAATTTAAATGTTTTTTCTAAAAATAAAATTTTATTTGCCCAACATTTAAACATACTAAATTTTTATATTTTCCATTTTATTTCAATACGATATAAGTATGATACATGAAAATAGAAATTAACAATATCTTAAAATAATAATTTGCAATTGAATATATTTTATAATTTTTTTTTTAATTTATTCGAAGTAGAAAATAGCGTACGAATATTTTTCAATTAATGTTTTTCTAAGTCTTTCAAATTTTATTTAATTTTTAACAAATTTAAAAAATGTGAGTAAAATTCGTAATAAAATTAGTTTTTCCTTTTCATTTAAATAGTATGATTTTTATTGTTCAAAATAAACTAATTTGATAAAATTAGAGTTCCAAAAATCTCTATAAAACTATTAAAAGAAATTGCAGAAAAAATCATTGAAAGTAGCTAATAATTTTTATATAAAGAATAATTTTGATATATTACTTTATTATTTAAAATAACATTTTTCCCGAATAAGTTTCATATTATGATTTTTATTATACAATAAACTAAAATCGTTATAATTTTTTTATATAAAATGTTTATGTTAAAAAATAATTTCATTTTTTTAGTTAAAATGCGAATCAATTAATATAATATATAATTAATAAAATATTTTAATAGCGAATTTAGAATTTTCCATAAAAATTCTTGCAGAAAAATTGTGGTGTATAAACAAGATAAAACAATTTTCATACAGAGAACAATTTTGATCATTTTTGTAAAAGAAAAAAAAATTAATTATCATTGTTCAAAATAAAATCTTAAATTTTTATTAAAATGCGAGTCAATTAATATAATAGATTATTAATAGAATATGTTTTTAGAAAAATAGAATTGTCTATAAAAATTTTGCCAAAAAAATAATCGTGGTGTATAAACAAGATAAAATAATTTTTATACAGAGAACAATTTTGTTAATTTTTGAAATAGAAAACCAATGCCTTATCAAATTAAGAACTTTTTTTATAAGTTCTCTGATTTATACAACAATGTACATAATTAAAAAAAAAGAAATAATTATTAGCTACTTTTTTTTACCAAAATGTGATAATTTAATTATATAAGAATTTGAGAATCAATTCAACATTTCCTAATCATTAAAATCATTTAATAATAATCCATATAATAATTCTGATGACTTACAATATATTAACCAAACCATTTGATCGTATAATTTTTGTTAATATTATTTTTTGAGAAAGTTGTCTTCTTGCAAAAAAAAAATCGATTTAAAATAATATTTTCAAGCAAGGCAGACAAAATTATACATTATTTTTAATATAAACCAGCTTATTTTTAAATATTACTTCTTACACAATTTCTGTTTTATGGCTTTAATTTTGTTATAAATGTAAAGAAGTGTTAATTATTAATATGTCTTCTTGGAGGTTTCTTCATTCAAATATGGTTTTATAAATTTTACAATTGATTTTCTTCCATATCACGATTTCTTCGATCACAACACTTTCTTCTTGATATCATATCTTACATTTTGTGCACTTCTAAGAAAGTCATATGTCATAAATCTATATATTCAAACTTTCGATAGAATTCCTGAAAGAATATCACATTTCATGAATTGATAGAGTTAGAGGAGACTGGGTTATTTGATACCAATTTTATTTGCATTTATAAAATATTCAATATCAGTCAAATATTCAATACACTGTGATATAATGGACTAAAATGAACTTAATAATAATTTAAATAAAAATCAGAATAAATGTTGAAAAAATCCTATATTTTTAGTGATAGGGATGAAGTAGTAGGTAGTCATATTATTCGTTAATTTTGTGTTTCTTAGAAGTTTAAATTATTTTTGTTGATCAACTCAATTTCGTTTATGTGATTATGCAAGTCTATGCAAATTGTCTTAAGATAAAATTAATACCACTTTTGTACTCATTTTCTTTTTTATATAGAAAATTTGAAAGTTATCATTTTTTTTTATTAGAGACTTTATATAGTACTGTCCATTATAAATTTTTGTTTCAATAAATTTGAGGTATTATCAACTCTTCACAAGGGAAATACACAAGATACAAATGGATTACATGAGAGACAGCATTAATTTTAGTATTTGTAAACAGTTTTCTATAAATTCTTTTATTGAATTTTTTCTTTGCTTAATTCTTTTTCAAAACAGATCTTTATAATTCCAACTCCAAAAGCCCTAACATTTCCAATCGAACAAATAAATACTTAGATCTATTTTTTTGGAAAAATATTTATACAAAAACTATTTTTTTTGGATACCTAACACTATATAAATATTATAACTTTCATTAAAAATTGTAATTATATATTTTACACTAAATAATTTTTGACAAAATCCTAGAACCAAATTAAAAACAAAGGAGATATTCAATTAATTCAATTCAATTTTATTTCAATAAATTTTCAATTAGATTTTTTGGGAAATTTTTGAAAAAATCGACTTTTTTGAAAAATTTGAAATTTTTTGGAAATGTTTTTTGAGATTTCTATTTTTTGCACTCTTTGCTCCGTATCTCCGTAACGGCTGGACCTGACTTTGCCAAAAACTAATCAGCACATCACCCCATCAATAGGAATCGAATGTTTTATGAATCATTCAAATCGGCTGATCCGTGCGCCCGAAAACGTCGACAGAAAATTGTATCCTCACACACACACATTCATTATTTCTGAGGTATGCCAAAATGTTCAGAAATCTTCAAAATGTGAAGAAATGTAAAAATTTTCAATTTCGATTTTTGGACAATTACAATAAATTACCCTATCTTACATTACTACGGGAAGTTAAAAATTAGTGCAAATTTTGTTTACATTTCTTTGGGTTTCGTACCAAGATTTATACTATTTAAAATTCACTTAAATAGTTATCCTGACAAATGACATTTACAACAGTATGGATCAACGAACCGACTTCGGAATTTCGGACTTTTTTTTAAAAAGATTTAAAAATTTTCAAGTTAAAAAAAAAACAAAGCTTTCAAAATGCTCAAAAAATCTAATATTTTCAAAATTCTCAAAAAAAATAGGAAGTTCCAGAAATTTTTCTTCAAGGCACAATGATGCACCACAAGTTTTTGAGGAAACTCCGGTCTAAAATCAGCTCACAAACTTTTTCCAAATTTGGCCTCATTCGATTGAGAATGACTTGAAACGTTGAGAAAACATAAAATTGGCAAATCGAATTTTTTGATGAAAACATAAACTTCTCCTTCGGGAAATTAATTAAATAAAACTAATACCCAAATAGCTTATTGCCAAGTGGAAAATTATAACTATTTTTATAACCGAAAAATTTCAATTCAATTTTCAAACAAATAAAGCTGGAGTAAACTTTGACTTTACTCCATAAAGCTTATTTTATCGGATTTAACTTGGACAGCTTGATATCAAGAAGTAGTAATTTTATCAGTTTTTACTTGAAAATATAGATTTCTTAGTTGAGAAAATTTTTTGATTTTGAAAAAACGTTTATCAAGCAAAATCCATCTAACATTAATTTCCAAATTTGGTCTCATTCGATTCAGAATGGCTTGAAACGTCGAGAAAACATAAAACTAGCAAATCGGATTTTTTTATGAAAACATAAACTTTTCCTTCTGGACGTTAATAAATATCGTTTTTTCTTTTGTTTGCTCTCCAGTTCGATTCTGATATAAATAATAATTCATATTTTCGAAATGTGTTATGCTGAACGCACGTCCATGTTTGTTAGAAAAAAGAACTTTTGCTAGATAACAGCGCCAACATATATTTATAAATCCAACATATGTATATATAAATATATATATATATATATATATATATATATATATATATATATGTATATAATGTATATATATTTGTATATTATTATATTTATATATGGTGTGCAATGTGTATATAGTCAGAGGAGATAAGAACGACTGATAAAACGCGTTTCCGCCGACTTCGACCAGTCAGTCGTTTTGCTGGTGGATAGTAATCGGATTTTTGTATCAAAACACACGAAATAACGAAAAAAAATTTTTTTTATATCTCAATATATTGAAGATTCTTTGGTCGGCGTTGAAACATATTGAAATGAATAAAACAGCCAATGCGTCGAATGAACAAATATTTATTTTAGATTTGTAAAGTTTCGAGACTAGATGTGTCTCATCATTCAATTAGAAGAAATTATACAATATAAGGAAAAATTCTGAATTAATGACGTAATAATTAAACAAATTAGATTATACATACCAAATAAAAAAAACACATGATACTA